GTAAATTACTAGTACCGGTACGGTCTTCGAGTTGAAAGGACCATGACAATACGGCAAGGTATTCCGCACTAGGCAATAGGATTACCTGTCCCAGGCAAAAAATACACGAATACAGGGATTAAAGAAATAAATACTAGTACTGTACCCTTAGAATATTATTGTGCGTATCTGAGCACCCTCTATTACGGTACAGGTACAGTACGCGTGGGACCAGTGCACACTGTACTCGAGTACAGAAAGGGACGGATGATTTTTTGATCAGGAACTTGACATGCCGGTAACATAAGCTCCGGATCATGATAATCTGAGTCTAGAATTTGATGAGACAGATGGTGTAGGATCGACGCAGGGGGCAAAAAGTGAAGTGACAGGGTCACTTTGGAGGCGGTCGGTTAGAATGGAAGAGCCCCCAGAAGGGCCCCTCTTCTGCTCCGCCGTAGCGCTGCAGATTAAACAAGGCCTTTCTTTATTACTCGAGTACCGTATACGGTACTCGAGCGGTGTGGTACCGGTGCTCAAGCAGTCGCAGGCATCACGTTTTGGAGGCTCCGGCTCTAAAGACAGGCGGGGGTGGTGGGGCATTGGGAGACTCAAAAAGCTCGCTGTACGAGTATGTTCGCAATGGAACGTGAATGACCCCGATAAAGCAGCAGCCCGAGCAAACTTCGGGAAATCAAATGGCATGAGAGCTACCCATTTCATACAGGTAGTATGATATTTCAAACTTAACTTGCCGTGCTGTGGAGTAACCATACCAATATCACACTGTAAAGCTTGAGTTACCACATTGTCCATTCAGAAAACCGTGCTCAAAACAACCAGCCCATCGCTTATTCCAAACTTGAGAAAAAAAGAAAGAAAAAAAAAACATTGCAGCATCTCATGCCCCACTTGATCCATCGTGAAGCCTTATTTGTCTGTCATGTACAAGAACACTTCCCTTTCTCTCCCTCTTCCTCCTCTTGGCCTTGTGAACAAATTCACTTCCCAGCCGGTTTTCCTGAACCCTCATCCCTACAGGTACTTGCATAAGCAACCCCGGCCAGTTTCTACTCTTTGAGCCTACTACATACAGGTATGTCCGCTGCCGCAACCCCAGAGATCAGCGCGGCTCTTTTGCCAGCACCAGACCGTTATTTGAATTCGGGTGTGTCAGACATCTTAGTGGTGTGAGGGACTGACTGCTCAATGAGAAGTCAAGAGTAAACACCGGTACCACAGCCGCACTGTACTCGTAGATAATAGTCTACCGTAATCCCTTACCAAAATATTCAAGCCGCAAACACACCACCTTCAGAGCCTCTTCCCGCCATTTACTCTTTCTCCACCACCCCCTCCCCCTTTCAACTTGTTGTTTCTCTCAAGGCTAGCCACTGCGACAGGAAGTTTTAGGTATCATAGTTGTGGGTCGAGGAGCGGTGCCTCAAGCGCAGCTGGCTTTCCTCCCGCAAACCGCGCTTTTTTCCTCACGTCTTAGATATTTGGTCAACGTTTGACCTCTGATAGCTCTAAATCGGGGAATTTTCCTTCCCCGGACACCGTTGAGGCTGCTTTCCCCTGCCACACACCCCCTCCCCATCCACCCATCCCCACAGCCGAACCGAATCCGGAAATCTCGCTGAAAGATCCCGACCACGGTTTTCCCTGACACTTCGAACACGAATCACTCCTCCTTCCATCGAAAACTCCTCGAAACGCTTTGTCTTCTATCACACCTACTGGAGGGACTCCCGGCCCTGTCTTCTCTCACTCCTTGCCTCATAATTACATTTCTACTAGAGGGGGCCAGTTACTATATGTGGATATTGCGCTCAGGGAATAATGCTGGGCGAGGTTAGCTCAACTCAGTCCTAGAATTGGCGATTCGTAGGCGGCCTTCTCGGATCTTGTTCTCGTTCAGTCACTGTCCTTGTTGCATTGTCTTGTCCTGGAAGAGGAAGCGTGCCAGCTGAGTCGCGTAGCCATTCAATCGATATCTATTGCAAAGTTGATAACATCATTCATTACAAGGGATATTCTCAGAAGAAAAAGAAACAATCAAACTCGGGGAAGGAGAGAGTTCCCGAAAGAATCCTCAAGGGGAAGAAGGGAGGGCACACACCTTTTTTCACTCACTGGCTGATCACCCGACTGTTTGACGCTGGGAGAAAAGGTCGATTACCACTGTCCTGCCGCTAGTCCTAAAACTCTAGTAGCGCAAACAGCTTAAGGTGTCGCCGCCGCCTTTGAGCCTCCTTTTTCCTGCCACTAAGCAAGAAGTACTTTACATAGGTTGGGGGAGACTCTCCCCCTCCGTCCCTCTCTTCCTTACTCTATTCTGCGAGCCTCCCTCTGTTTGTTTTTCACCTGTCCTCCTGATATTGTCACCGACCTAGCGAACTTCTGCTGTTAACCTTTGTCCTGCTCAGCGACCTGTTTTTGCTCTCGAGCTTAGCTTATTACCTTCCGAACCATCCTACCTTTGAACGAAATACAAAAAGACCGTTAGAACGACGCTATTTTTTTTGGCCACCCTTCAGCCTCATCCTCGTCATCGACACCATACATTTAACGACCCGCATCTCGAGTCTGCGCGACAAGTAAAATATTAGGGGATATCTTGGGATTGCCAGACGAGTCAATTGCGGCTCGCATTGGCTTCATCTACATCTGCTTCTTCACCCAGATTTATTATGCTGTTTGCTGTCGATCCCCACCGCCACCATCAATACCAATTACACGAAGCAATAACAAGTGAGTTTAATAATTCCATCATTTCGTCCGTATCATCATACCACTTTCCATGATTCCTGTCATACTTTTTGATTTCATTCGATGCTCCTTCCCAATTCCCTACCACTACCCTAATGCTTTTGATTTTTGGCTTTACATTTTTAGTTTTCGTTTTCTTTTTCTTTTCTAATCGCGTTTCTGTCTATATTTCATTTTATCACATTTTACTTTATTTTTTCGCAAGCAATGTTGGGTGAGACCCGAACCGGTTCATGATTGTGATTATGATGATCCTGTTGAGAAAGCGTAAGCGGTGATAGGCTTTTTTGTGGGGCTCTGTGCTTGGTCAAGAGCCTCACGGCTGAGCCGCATCACCGCTCCGCCGTGACCACGACCGCATCGAAACATCTCTTTCGTGGCCCAGGAATGAATGGAACCACGTTGGTCATCACCCTGCATTGCTTCGATTCAATTTCCCCGTTGCCGTTCTTACCCTGCTAGGCACTTTCCGGTATTCTTTCCCCACCTGAAAACATCGGCTTCTTTTTTCGCTTTCTCTATTCTTTACTACCCTTGTATACCATCATCCTTAATTTTTTTCTTCTTTTTAATCTTTTGATTTTCTCGTCATACAGTCTCATTCATTACGCATCATCATTACTGTTCTTATCGGTTTTATTGCTCTTATTATTTATTATTGAAGTGACGACTGACCGAGATTCATCTCACTTTGCTTCACAGATCCTGATCAGCCAACAACATCCTATTATTGTTCATCACGAGCTCTAGCTGCTCCAGCGGCTGGTCCCAGCAATACCAGCAGAGAAGTAGCAAAACAATTTTCAACAAGTGAAATTCGAAATCTTTGTCATCGATATCAAAGAATTTGGGGTAAGAGTAGCTACTGATACCCTAATTGCGAAAGCCTGTTTTTCTTTCCTTGATTTTATTGGGAAATTCTAATCAAAATACAATTAAGCGGCCCGGAGGACAGGGCGTAGTTCAAAAGGCAGTCGTTACGAAATCCCAGCCACCAAAACGTCCGATCAAGTCACTCTTCAATCAGTGCCTCAGTGTAAAGGTAGCAGACACAGTGGTCACCTAAGCAAGTGCAATCTTTCGGAGCATGTGCTAGGATTTCCTAGGGAGCGGAAAGTGCAGCAGATAAACGAAACATCTCTAGAATTGCCAAGAGAGCCATCAACTTCTGCCTCGTTTTTCACTGCCTCGTCAACCTCATCAGACCGGCTAGGTTATAAGCCAGCCAAACAAACCCGTAAACCATCACCACGATACACCGAGGGCTCGCGACAAGCGTTCCCTCAAAAAAACACTTCAACGGACCCCACTAGCAAAATTACGCTGAATTCCTATCTCTACTCTGGGTCATTCCAGCTAGCCGCATCACGTCTCGAGTCGTCGCAAGG